GAAATTATCAGCCACATGCATAAGAATTTATATGCATAAATTTAACGAATTACCTTGAATTTGATTGGCGAAGAACAAATTGAATGGTATGCTAACTTCTTAGGTGTTACATGATAACCACCCTTAAAATCTTGATTCCCTCTTGGCAAACTCTTGGCTCCCTTGCATTAAAAGGAACCATAGGGAAATGAGCTATCTCTATTTTTTCCTCTTCTATACAATTTCAAAAGCTCCCAATGAGCTTACTAACCTTAGCCATAATCAACAAGACCAAGCCACCATATTTATGCATCTAGACCATGATCTGAATCATTATAGCAAGCCAAACCCTCCCAAGCTAAACTGAGGGAGGGTTTTTCTCTTCTCATCTTTCTTAAGGTGAGCATCTAAATCTTTGAATTCTAGTGACCACGAAAGTGTGAAACTTAGTTTATTGTTAAATAATTGGGTAGGGCAGACCACTTTTGCTACATAAATCAAGTTAAACCACATTGAAATAAAGCCCTTCACCTCCCAAACCCAACCAAATTGATTTCATTCAACTTGGTTGATAAATGAGGGAGAAACCCAATGAGTAGGATTCGAGCCAACTCATGCCAACACAACCCATCATCTTAGTTCACCTTGAATGGAGGAGCAAAAAGGAGAATATTCTAAATGCAATGGAAAGTATTTTAAAGAATATCCTCCAAAATATATTTAAATTTTTTTGTGATCACATTTGTTGACCATATGTAATGAAATTTTAACCCTAAATGCATTGAGAGCTAAGGAATTTAGAAGAAGAATACTTGCATGTAATTTTTTTATTTTTATTAAGAAAATCAAATATTCATTATTTTAATTATTTAGTGCACCCAGTAAATTTGAAAATTTCCCAAACACATTTAAGAGGTTAAGTAGATCTTAAGGAACCTCTTATTATTTTCTCATTGCTTGATAAATCATGCATTATATCTAATAATTTTTAAAAGAATAATTTTAACTATTAAAAATATTACTAATCAAGATTTTTATTTTAAAAAATCTAAAATTTATGGAATTTTTTAGTATGTCCTTACATTTCATTGAATTATTTGAATTTTTTTATCATATTTAATATATTGGATCAGTTAAAGAAATTTTCCTATTTTTTATGTTTTAAACTCCTTTAAATCAACTTAAATTTTCCTTTAGAAATCAAGGATGTTATTTAACATATGTATATCCTGAATTTTTCTAATGCTAGATTTAACTAAGTATATCCTAATTAATTATGAATTATTTTTGGTTTTCGGCTTCCGGGGCAATTTTTGTCGTGCTACTTTCTGACTGCGCTTCATCTTTCAGGGAAGTATTTTTTTTCCTTCCTTTTTGTGCCTTCTGCTCTAGATGACTGGTTATCGTTTGTTTGATGGTGGTTTTTTTTTATGGTAAACCTTCATCCAAGTCTTTTCATGAGGCTCTTTCCGGTAATGTCTCTCTCTTCCCTGAACTTAAAATTTCTACTCATCGTGGGCTTCCCTGCGAAAATTTTGTCGCATAATGCTCCTTTCGATTTTGCGTTGGTCGGGACAAAGTTTCCGACCAACCAGCTGTTCCTTGAGGCTATTCAAATTTTTTTTTTCAATCTGAAAATCAATGATGATTTCTCCATTACGATTTTGAATCCGAAGAATGTGTTGATAAAATTAGGGAATGACTTGGCCTATTGCTAGATCTTTGTGTATTGTTCTTATTTCATAAACAATTGTTACATGCATTTGATCAAGTGGTCGTCTTCTTTTGACATGGATGTTGAATCTCCTATAATTCCTATTTGGGTGTCTTTTTCGAATTTGAGACCTCATCTCTTCTCCTCGAGGATTCTTCAGGGCCTCGGTTCTATTTTCGGTCAGCCCCTTAAATTTGATCATGGTACTTCTACTGGTTCTCGTCCTTTGGTTGCTCGTGTTTTGGTAGAATTGGATGTCTCTAAGCAATTTCCTACGAAGATTTGGGTTGGTCCGGACAATTTGGGGTATGTCCAGTCGGTTACTTTGGAGGATTTTCCATTATATTGCTTGCATTGTAAATCCTTAGGTCATTCCAAATCTGAATGTTGTATCTTGTATTAGTGTTTAGCTCTGTCCCAAAGGAAAATTCCTATTGCTTCTGTGCCATATTTAGGGATTAATACTAATATTAACTCGAGTCCTAATCTAGCTGATATGTCTTATGCTGCTTTGCCACCTGTGAATCCTGTTGTGACTCATTCATCCCCTGCTGCGTCGTCTATGAATATGGGAAAATATTTTAATTTTGTGGCTGTGATTGATTGTGAACTGCTTTGATTCCAGCAGAGGATGTGGTTGCGTCTGTTGGAGATTTACCTACGTGTATGTCTCCTCAGGCGGATCCTCTTGAACATGTTGTCCCGGCCTCTCATTTTTTGTGCTAGTGACGTTGGTGGTGGTTTTAATCCTAAAATAGCTTTGTCTCTAGTGGGTTATGTGTCTGCCATGTGTGTTTTGGCTGAGGCTGATGCACCTAGTGTGGTTGCTGAGCAATCTGGTTGCTCTATTTCTCCTGCTGTGTCATCTGAAGAGAGCTTACCATTACCCTCTGTTTCTCCTATTCGGGTTGCAACTGTTTGTGGTGTGCCCGTTAATCGGGATGCTGCTTCCTCTTCAGTTATGGTTTTGGATAAGCCGGTGTAATTGAATTTAGCTTCTAACGATGGCTTTGAGTGTAATGGAAATTTTGTTAATATCACTATTTCTGTTTTGTCTAATGCAGAAATGCAATATCATATGGCTAAGTCCATTAAAAACTCGATTTTGGTTCAAACTGACTGGCTTTATTTAGAGTATTCCATGTCTTCTCCTTCTAGAGGGGAAGAAGGGGAATGTCTTGAATTTGAGAAAGATGTAGTAGGCCGTTTTGTTGGACGTGGTCGTGGTAAATATGAACGCAGAGGTAGGAAGTAATTGTGCAAATGTTTTTGGTCGATTGCTTCGTTTGGTATTGGATGGACTATGATGAGGAGGCCCCTGTTTCCTCTCTTTGGCTTGGCTGATTGGCAACCTGGGTGTCTCGTTTGTTGCTTGGGGTTTCTGTTCGGTTTTATCACCTATGGATGGTCCTTGCTAGCCTCATGGTTGGTGCTAGGGGCCTCCACCTTAAGTCCACTCTCGATGCTTTCTTTGGTCCATTTGGTGATTTGGGCTTTTTAATTTTGTACCTTGTGTTGTTTTGCCTTTGACTTGTTGTATCTAGGGATGATATCCTGTATCTGTAGTTGATGTACTGATATTCTCCTTTTATTTGAATAAATATTTGTTTTGTTAAAAAAAATTATATCCTGAATTTTTCTAATGCTATATTTGTCTATGTATATCCTAATTAATTATGAATTATTTGAGGTGTTTTCTATTATCTATAATTAAAAATCTTTTATTCCAATAAATTATAATATAAAAATCTATTAAATATCCTTAAGAATTTAGGGCTTTTTAAACATGACATATCCATCCATTAACATTTATTCAATTTAATGTTATTTTATTTATTAAATATAATATAATTTAGATCATTTGATGACACTTAATTAATTTTTTTTTTCTCTTTCTTTTTTTTTTTTTTTGGAATAGGGAATTCACCCGCTGCCACCCTCGAAAGGGCGCTTAGCGGCATAACTAGTCCTCAGCTGACCTAGAAGAGGCACCCACCCCAAAAACTTCCTGGTCTGCACTTGATTGGGCCCCACCATAAAGAGGTGCTTTACCGCTCAAGGTAGTATCAAGCACGGTTGGGGGTTCCAAAACCAAGGCGGAACACATCTTTCAATTTTTGAGGAGGGGGGGCGGGGGGGGCAATATAGCACACAAATAATAAATATAAAAAAAAATATTATATATTTTAAAAGAATTAAGCAAGGAAAAAAGGTGTAATTGAAACTGTTAGAAAAAGTTATGAAATAAATATTAGAGAAACTTAAATGGAATAAGAAAATATTAGACTATTTAGGCAAGTTAGGACAAAAAGAATTTTGGGGAGGGGTGCAGAAAGTGTAATTTTTTGGAGAGGCAAATTTTTTTTTTAATTTTTCAACTTCTCCTATTTTTAAAGAAAAAAAAGTTTTTGAGGGGGGGGGGGGGCGCAATTTCCCCCCTAAAGAGAACTTTTATTTGGTCTGGTGACCGGACATAGAGCTACGTTCAGCCGGCACTGAGATCGCGCCACGTAGCATGCACAAAACCACGTATTTGTCGATTTTGCTCGGCAATAACGAGAAATATCATTATGTGAAGACAAATACCGAGTAAATACCGAGCAACACCGAGCAATACCGAGTTTTTTCTAGAAAAACTCGGTATTGCTCGGTATTGGTCTTCACAGAGCGGTATTTCTCGTTATTGCCAAGCAATACCGAGTAACTCAGTGGTGACCGTACGTAGAGCTACGTCCGGTCACCGGACGTAATAATTGTTCCCCTAAAGAACCTATGGTTCCACCCATGTTCCCAATCATACTCGCCCACCTACCAAGCTTAGCAACAATGTATAATATTTTTATCTTTAAGAAATCAACATATAGACAATTAAAATAGGAAAACATTATGTCAAAATATTATGATGTGGTTTATATTAGAATGAATCTCAATGCTTTTAGATTTGCATTGAGATTAGTGTAATATAGATTTTCATATATATCACTAATTTAAGTACAAATAAAAAAAAACTTATTTTATAGTACTCTAGCCCAATTTTATTCATCAAAATGAACAAAAAAATTTATTCAAATTATTATATATTAGAAACAAAATTAAACCAATATTATTTATACTAAATAGTTTAATATTACATTACAAATTTTAAATCAAATGGCCAACAACTAAGCTATTTTACCACAGGCCCGTCAGTGTTCCGATCGAACAGCGTACTCCTCGATGGACCAATAAATTTTCGTCGCGCCTACGAGACTCCCCTAGAACCTTCTCTACTCTCCCTTCCTATATAATGGAACACCCGAACTCACCAGAATAGCCTATCGGAGAAGAAAACTTTCGCTCGACTTCTGTGAGAAGCCAAAGAAGGCGAAGATGATGGACTGGAACCGCCCTCCATACCGGAAGTCCGGCGACGTCGAGGAAGGAGGCTCGGCGCGACCGCTTTATCCGATGATGGTGGAGAGACCGGAGCTGCGCTGGGCATTTGTGCGGAAGATTTATGGCATTCTTTCGATTCAGATGCTGCTCACGATCGCCATCTCCTCTATCGTGGTTTCGGTGAAGCCTATCTCTCAATTCTTCGTCTCCTCCGGTGGTGGTCTTGGACTTTATATTTTCCTTATCTTCTTGCCATTTCTAGGTATTCTATCTTTTATTTTTGGTTTATTCTTTGGCGGCATTTCTTCATGTGTTGAAGTTTTTTCTGGTAATTCTTCTGATATTAATTGTTTTCTTACTGATTTTTAAAGTTAGTGTTGAATTATTAATTAACTATGGCACAATAACGTTCCAGATCAAGAACTAAGCTATTTTACCCACATTTTCCCATTGATTTCTTTTTTTATCACGAAAAGTGAAAAAATAAAATCTCAATGTTGCATTTCAGTGTAATAATACAAAGAAAAATATTTTTTTTCAGTGTTTATTTTCAATCATATTTTGAGTTAGACTTAAATTAGACCTGGCAACTTGAATTGACTCTAATTGGAATCAGAAAACACAAACGAGAAATTGACATAGCGTTATGATTCTGTGATGTTGTATTTTAAAATAAAAAATTTATATAATAATAACATAAATTAAATGAATATAAAATAAATTTTTATTTTTATTACTCATAACATAAAATATTTAAATTTAATAACTATTTTAAATTCAGTTTGATAACAAATAGTTACATGATATTATAAATTATTGATTCAAATACTTAAAAAACTTCAAAATAATAAAAAGTAAATATTATTAAAAATTAAATGAATTATTTTGGGGTTTGAGAATCAACTTGAGTTATACTTAAACTGATCATGTTAACCTGAATTTTAATTTAAAATATAGAATGCAGACCTGTAATCGATATATTGTTTAAAGAAAAAAAAATCATAATGGGTATTTAATACTATAAGACTGTAGTAAGATTAAAAAAATAAAAATAAAATTAAAATTCAATAGCTATCAACCTAGTATTATATTTTAAATTAAAAAGAAATATCTTAATTTGCTATTTATATAGAAAATTTTAAAGTTAAAATTTATTATTCAAGATATATTGAAGTTCGTTAATTTTGTTTTATTTTATTTTATTGTACAAATAAATAGTATATTCTTCATGTATTGAATATGTGCTAGCAAGTGCACAATATCCTACCCGTTCACATACTTCAGCAAATAGTTTGTGTGAACTCATTTCAAACGTGAATTGGCTTTTTTAAAGGAAATAATACATTTATTGTTTTTTATACACTTGCATTTCAATAAATTAACCACTTCATTAAGGGATGGATTATTATGCTTTTTAAGGAACTTTGCCAAAAAAATTCCTTCTTTCACTTGATTTGCCAACATTATGGTTTAAAAAAGTCTAGCTTGGTTCTGTTATTGCTTTGCTTGGTCATTTTAAAATGACAGAAAAAATATCATTTATCATAACTAACATCTTAATTTTTTTGGAAAATTCCAGTTATGTGTCCGTTGTACCACTACTACCAGCAGCATCCAATAAATCTTCTTCTACTTGGCATATTCACTGTGTCCATCAGTTTTTCCGTGGGATTGACATGTGCTTTTACAGAAGGTAAGCTCTTGGAATATTGTTGTGATTTTTGAAATGCTAACTAATTTTGAGACAATTCATTTGAGCATTTTATTTTCATAAAAGATAAGTATAAATTATATTTATTTGAAGTGCAGAACCTTATTCGAGATGGTCATAAAACTGTTCATATTTTCTTTTGATTTGAAGTTTTGATATTTATTGATTTAGAGAAAGCATATAAATGCTATGGAGAGTTCTTGAAAAGAAATGAGTTAATAACGCTTATGTTCAAACCATTAAAGATATGTATGGATGAGCTATTACTTGTGTTCAAACACAAGGTGGTTTGACCCATCATTTTCCTATTTCGGTTGAATTACATCAAGGATCAGCCTTAAGTCCATATCTTTTTGTTGTAGTCGTGGATGCTCTCGCTATAAGATGGTGGTGAGACTTGCAGTGCTTTATGGTGTCGAATGTTGGCCATTAAAAGATAAGCATAATACTAAGTTAAGTGTTGCAGAGATGAGGATGCTCAAGTGGATGAGTGGCTTTATCCTTAGAGATAGGATACGAAATGAGCGTATATATGAAAAGGTTGGAGTAGCTCAGTGGAAGATAAAATTAGAGAGAGTCATCTTAGATGGTTTAGTCACATAAAACGGCGGCCTTCTGATGACCTGGTTAGGAAGGTATTAGGTTTGACTTATGTTAAGAAAGGTAGAGGTAGACCTAAAAAGACTTGGTTAGAAAATATTAGAAATGATCTTTCTTTATTAGATTTAAATGAAAATTTAACTTTTAACATAATACAATAGAGAAAAAGGATCCATGTAGTCGACCCCATGTAGTGGGACAAAGGCTTGATGTTGTTGTTGTTGATCAGTTTTTACTATCTTAAAATTTATAGGATCTGTTTAATTTGAAGGATAAATCCTAATGGACTTTTTACTACATAATTTCATGTTACATATAAATAGAATTTTTTTTTTATTCTTGCCCAATCTTAAAGAAAAATTCAATTTTTGATCAATTTCATAAAATAGTTCCATCAATTTGTTCTAACTCGAACAAGTATGCAAGTTTTTAACTGCCCTGAACCTATAACGTCTACTTGATTTGATGGAATTTGGGGAAATGCTAATGGATTTAACTTGATAGTTTTATATTATGTATTTGGTTCTAATGAAATTAAAAGAATATTAAATTTATAGAAATGTGAATAAATAGATTTTTGTATTGATAAATGTCTATCCATTCTTTGTGAAAAATGCTAAAAACTATATCTCTTATGAAATAAACAAATAAATAAGAGTTTTCTTCGCTCAATATTTCCTTTCACCAAGCAAGAGGGTAAACTTCAAATTTAATTGAATTTTTATGCCATTTCCAGTCTCACACCCAATTCATTTCCTCTCTTTCAATTCCTTAAAACCAACTAAACATAGCCGTTAACATTCAAATCAAATAAAGCCCTTCTGTCCCCCATAAATGGAGAAGGCAAGCTTTTTCTTAAATATCATATCGTAATCGTCTTTTGCTGATGGATAACAGGGAAGGTGATTCTAGAGTCCGTTATTCTCACTGCCGTGGTGGTTGTCAGCCTCACCCTCTACACCTTCTGGGCTGCAAAGAGAGGCCACGACTTCAGCTTCCTCGCTCCATTCTTGTTTGCTGCAGTCATGATATTGCTGGTTTTTTCCATCATCCAGGTAAGTAATCTTGATCTCTCTCTGTCTTCCCTGGTTGTTAATATGAAAAATTGCTTTTTAAAGGTAAACAAAGGGTTAAGTTATACTTACTCGGGCTATATAAGTTACTTTTCTTTATATAAAAGAACATTTTTGAAAAATTTTGTATCCTGAGAAAGTTTTGTTAAGTCTTAGGCTTCATTTGGGGCGGCTTTCTTACTTCTTCTTAAAACAATTTTTTTAGTACAAAAATTAATAAAACTGTCCTAAACGAAGCCTTATTCTTGGATATCCTAATTCATTTGTTTGATTTTTACTAGTGATTGATACAGTTTCATTTGCAAAATTCAACATGATTTTGTAAAACCGAACCTGAACATATCAGGATTGAAACTGATTGTTAGCATAACTGTGTATTTCAGCTTTTCTTTCCTTTGGGAAGGATCTCCTTGATGATCTATGGGGGCCTTGCTTCTCTCATCTTCTGCGGATATATCATATATGATACAGATAATTTGATCAAACGTTATGCTTATGATGAATATATCTGGGCTGCTGTGGCTCTGTACTTGGACATTATCAATCTGTTCCTCTCCTTGCTTACTTTGTTCAGAGCTTCTGATAGTTGAAACAGTTGAGAGAAAATAGCGAGCATATGAAGCTTGATTTTGTGATATTTGTGCCTCTGTTTCTTCATTTAATGGGATTTTAACTGTATTGGATTGAAGTGAAAGAATATGTGAAGAATGTTATTGCTTCATGTCACATATTTGAGCCATATATTTTAGGGGTTTGTAATGCCTGTATTTTAATGTTGAAGTGACACTATGCTCTATATTAATGTTGGAATTTATGTAGGTTTGTATGTTGGAGAGGGTTTTAGAGCATATGGGATAGGTTCGGTGAAGCCAAGAAGAATTATTGAGAACATTTTTAGGACTCTTTGAGAGGATTAATTAGCGGACAACGGATTTCGTCTGGAGGCAAATCAAAGCATGTCATGTCACCTCTTTGTTGTGTATCATAGATGTACATGTTAAGTATCGGTTGACATGGCGCGCTCTGATAATCTTTCGGACATAGAGCTACGTTCGGTTTCTGCACTGAATAATTTCTCCTTTGAGAGACTCTAAAAAAGAAGAGTTATTGGGTTTGGACACCGGACATAGTTTACCGTTTGGTAGTTCACAGTACCGAATGGTACTGAGCTCGGTACTGTGAAGTATTGAGTTAGGTACTTCACACTACCGAGCATATTGAGCTTGGTACTATTTGGTACTGCTGAGTATCGAGTTCAGTACCGAGTAGAGAATGATGTGGCACATTTTCATTGTCTTCAATAATTTCTCCCAAAAAAGACATTCCTAAGGTAAACTCGAGAAAGCCTGCCAAAGTTTTTTTTTTTGGAAAAAAAGAAATTCCTGCTAAGAATAGATTTTTGCATTAATGATAGGTCGCTTCGGTGAGCGTAAGTATGAAAAGGGTTGTATCAAGCAATTTTTTTTTATTTATTTACATAGGGTGAAGGTGAAGCAGAATATTTGTGGTTGGTATAATGGGCGAAAATATGTCTATGCAAGTTAAATAACATGATTTCCTAAAAGGAGTGAAGGAATTCTTAAATTTACTTCTAGTAAAATACTTATAAAAAATTATCAAATATTCTTTAAAAAAAGTTATAGATTTTCAATCTCATTTTGTATATGATAGATTCTTATTTGCTTTGCTTGCATCAACTATAATTTTAACTATGCCATAGTAGGTATTATATCTTATAGTAATAAATTTCTTAAGGAAGCAAGGATATTGTGTTATGTTTGTGTAGCAAGATGTTTAACATCAATATTGTGCCCATAAGTTTCATAGGGAGTTTAGCACTTGTTATGAGCCATTACTAATGCCAATTAGTATTTTAAGTTGGCATGGATGTCCAACCATATCAATACTTTATAAAAGAATGTGTTTTGTTAAATTAATTTTATTAAAAAGAGTTTTGAAGCTTTATGCAAATGAATTATATAATAATTTTAGTGAGATCTTCATTTAATATTTAAAACATGTCCGTTGTATTCTCACCTGGAGAGGATTAAATCTAAAGATTGAGACTTACGAGTTAGTAATATGTGTAATGCGGCCCAAAAAACTTTATCAAATTAACTTTCAATTATTATTTATTGATTTGGATTTAATTTGGTTTTGAATTATTGGTTTGTTGATTTGATTTGGGTGTTTATCTACTTAAAGTCTTGGGTTTATATCTTGACGAAAAAGGACATAAGAAAGACTTATAATTCTAATTTTAGATAGGGAAAAGATTTTTGTCTTTAATCTTACTTTGATAGGAGCATGAAAATTTAGCAATTAAAGTTTGATTGAGTTTATAAGGCTTGTGTTTTTTTTTTTTGATCTGAGATTGAATTTATTAAATATTTGTGTCTTTATACTATTTTCATATTCATGATATTTTACTTTTAATTTTAAAAAACACTTGAGAGTTTACTTATGATACAAACATTAAAGTTATTCCACTAGTGGTTCTTATAATATAGCTATGTCAGGGAACTAAGCTACAAGTCTTGTATCTTTGATATTACATAGCCCTACAAATGCGCCATACAATATTGTTCTTTAGGAAAAGGATATTGAGGCCATTGACTTGTTTATATTTTGTATTTAAATTGATATCACTTATTGATTTTGCTTGAAAGAGGTATTGGCCGGGTTTTATAATGCTAGCTTTAAAGAAACTCAAAGGAGTTAAGTGGTTTGAATTTATTATATGTTTAGACATTTGATTGAGTTTGATTGTTGTTTGGAACCTAAGCATGCTAGTCCTAGAAGGCCCAAATAGTTAAGGCTTACAATCCAATTCTTAGGTCAAATTAAGGCTTTGTTTGGGACGGCTTTCTTACTGCTTCTTAAAGCAGCTTTATAGTACAAAAATTAATCATTTTCTACTAAAAAACTACTTTAAGAAGCAAGAAGAAAGCCGTCCCAAACGAAGCCTAAGTGTATTGGTTTAATGTTAGTGGTGGGAGGCGTTATGGTGGAATTAGTAGCTAAAATAGTTATGAATATTTGATTTATAGGGTATAAATGTTATATGGAGTTTCTCATATGAAAATGAGACCTTTGGAGGGGTTTGGTAGAGAGAAGATTAAGATTAGTTCTAATTGAGCTAATTTGGGCTAATTTGAAATATCTTTTTTATAATAAATTTTAAGTGGTCTAAATGGAGGGAAATATTGCTTAAGTTTTGGTCAACATATGAAATTATGATCTAGAGAAGTTGGTGGAATTTAGTGAGGCTTAAGGCCTTCTCGAGGTGTGATGAATAAAACTAATTATTTGGAGAGGATGTTATGAAGATAAAAAATAGTCAAGCATCATGAGAGAACAAGTTACTTCATTTTTATTATTTATTATTCAAAATATGTCATTTTTTATGGCATAGAAGCCCTATTTGTAGGTATCATAATGGCTTCTTAGACTACTATCATTCAAAAAGAAGTGGGAAATTTCTAAAGCAAATAAGTTAAGTGGTCATTAATGGTGGAATGCATCGATCATATGCATTAATTCATTCTTCATTCCAAAATTCATTAAATGGACAATCTTTTTCGTTTTCTCGTATGAAAATAAAATAAAAATAAAAATTATATATTGAATGAATGGGGCGGGCGTCAACATGATGTGAAGAATAGAAGTTTATGACGAACTCGGGGCAAGCATCAATGAGATTAGGCGGAGTGTGAAAAATGGGAGTTTCTGACGAACAATGGGCAAACATCAATCAGATCAAACGATGTGCGACGAAGAAGAAAATTTCAAGACATTATAGGGAAGGCATCAACTAGACTATAGCAATATCAATATGCAAAAATAATAATAAAAAAAAATAAAAAAAAATTTAAGTCCAATATTTCATGAATATCTGTTATCTTTCTTTATAATAATAACACATCAGCCCATGGATTCAAGAAAGGACAAAACAGAACAAGTGTACGGCTAAAGAAAGACGTTGTAAGCCTATCACCTGTGTACATATGTAAATCCATTGGTCTATAAATACAGACTCATTATATACATTGTAGTACAGATTTCTTATTCTAATAAAACAATTCTTTATCAAGCTATGTCTCATCTCTCTCTTTATGGTATCAGAGCCTACTAAGGCTCACTGCCATTTCTTGTTTCACGATTTCTTTCCTGCCTCTGGTTCTTCTCGTTTCTTCCAAAGATCGGATCAATGGCGACTCCGATCATCTCTCAATCAGCCGAATCATCCTCCGATGTCACTCCCGTCAACACAGAACAGGTCAGAAACTTCCCAGATGACATCGTCATCCCCTCCTCCCTCAAGTTCCTCATCTCTAATATCAAGACCATCGTCCCCATTCAACTTTCCAACGACAACTATGCGACATAGCGATCGCAAATCTGGAAACTCTTCCGAGCAAACAACTACAACAGCTTTCTTGATCAAACTACGGTCATACCATCTCGCACGATCATCGACTCCACCGGGACCTCCATTATCAACGAAGCTTACTGCAGATGGGTTCTGGCAGATCAGAACCTTGCAGCAGCCATTTGCTCAACCATTTCGGCAAGTATTCTCCCGTATGTACTAAATCTTGACAACTGCGCGGACATATGGAGCACGCTGGAAAGACGATTACAGGCGACAAACCGCTCAAGGGTAATCCAACTCAAAAACGAGCTTCACCACATCACAATGGGCCAACAAACCATGCTGCAATACCTCACGACCATCAAGACGCTGGTCGACAATATCGCTGCTGCCGGAAGCCCCATTGACACCGAAGATATCTTGCTCTACACTCTCAACGGGTTGCCTCCTCAATATCAGGCATTTAAGACATCGATCCGCACCACCCTCACTCCGGTCGCTCTCGAAGACCTCTATTCGCTTCTTCTAAGCGAAGAAATCAATCTTTCTACTGATCTTGCAAAAGAACAATCAAACCTGAACACACAGACGGCTCTCTATACCAACCGATCCAGGGGACGTGGCCGCGGAAGATCCAACTCTTCCTCGCGTGGACGAAACACCTCCAGCAATCAACCAAACTCTTCCTCAAATCAGAACACATCCACTGCCCCAGTCTTCTGCCAAATCTGTGGAAAAAGAAGGCATACAGCCAACAACTGTTGGCATCGTTTCAACGCCAATTACATGACGCCATCCACAGCTCTCACGGCATCCAACACTCAGACTCCTAGCGATTGGATTCTCGACACAGGAGCTTCATCTCATTTCACAAACAACCTTGACAACATTCAACAGCCATCCGAATACAATGGCTCAGACAATGTATCCATTGGAGACGGGCGATCTATTCCAATCGCTCACTCCGGACAAGGACTGTTGCCCACCCCTACTCGTAACCTTTCTCTTTTTAAGCTTCTGCATACTCCAAATTTAGCATATAATCTTTTATCTGTTTCTTCTTTAACCAAGGACAACAATCTGTCCATTGTATTTGACGCATCTGGTTTTTGTATAAAGGACAAGCAGAACAATCGCACGCTCCTGTCAGGCCCCTGTAACAGAGGTCTTTACCGGCTGTCCAATACAGGAACAAAACCGCAAGCTCTCTCTGCTACCACGACGTCCTCCACCCGCTGGCATAGAAGACTTGGACATCCGCATCAACAAATTATCTCCACCATCTCCAAACATAACCGCAATCTTGGCATACCCACAACGATAGTTTCTTGCTCCATGTGTAAGGCCACAA